CTTCCGATCCCTTTGCTTGCCCCTGTGACAATCACCTTCTTCCCTTGGAGCATCTCTGAGGAACCCCAAAATGAAGTAAAGACCATTTCCAACTTGGGAGAAATTTTCCTTCTCTCTCTGGATATGGGCAGCCTTCTCTCAGTTTCTACCTTTTACAATGATCAGCCCAGATCCATTGGCCTCAAACTGCATAAATCATGGAAGGAACAGTTGAAGTATTTCATAAACATGCTCTGACATGGGGGTTTGGCTTGGTTGCTCAAAACCGAGCCTCCCTGTTGTCATTCCTTAAATACCTCCTTACATAGAACTAATAGGACAAGCCCAGAAAGGTCATGGTTCAGCTAAAAATGCTGGATTTCCCAACATTTGTGAACTCATTCAATTTTGCTCAATTGAAAGAAAATCTAAAAAGTAATAGAAACACATGTGTTCATAGAGATTGCAGGGATTTTCCCTCATTTCTATTTAGTCATCAACTCCAAAGTCCTTTTTTACCTCCCACTTATCATCATTCTCTCTGCTGAACTCAATATCCGACTGAGTCGTGAATTTGTGTATTACTCTCATTTCTGTAAAAGATTTGAAATTGCTTTCCATTAAGGGTGCCAAATAAAGCACAACCTATTTGGCAAGCTTTTGGATGCATGATTACCCCTCCCCACATGCCTTCTGTCCATAACCTGCAGGACACAAAAATACAGTCCCACATTCAAGTTCCCTTTTCTTCCTGTGATTTTAGGAATCAAGAACCCATCTTGATCCTCAGGAGTATCTCAGCATCTTGATGTTTTCTAACCTATTCCTCTGAAATGAGACACAGTGGTACTTACCTGGTCTGAATTCCTCCTTTGCAGAATAGTAGTAGTAGGCCAAGAAGAACCCCAGGATGGGGAGGAGATATTTTTTCATAAAAGCCATCAGACAAGGATCTGGCCCGAGGAGTCCTGTAGGACACACAGAGAGAACCTACAGAGCTTTCTACAACCTCCTAGGCAGGCAGCAGCCTCTGAATTGTGACATCAGGGACGGGGGAGGCTGGAGTAGTCTCAGGCAGTGCTAGCCAATTTCCTTGTCAGAGCAGCGATTGGCTTTGGGTGGGATCCCATTTGTCCCTGGCAGCCTTCGTGGTGGATTTCATAATGGACAATGTTTACTCCATTTCATTGAGCAAGAGGAGACTTCCAGATGGCCAAGCTCATGACTGTACAGGACAGGATTCCTGAGCATCCCTACCCCAAGTCCACCTTCCTTATAACATCATTTACATCAAGGATCAATGGTCTTTCAAAAGTGGTTTGTCAAAGGGAGAGAGAGAGAGAGAGAAGTATGTGTGGAGCTTCTGGGGAAATGTGAGTAATAGCAAAGAGAGAGAAACTCAAGCCAAGTCTCACTGTCAGCCCCACCTCCCAGTCGGAAGCAATTAAAAATAACAGCACAAAACAGCAAAATAAGCTTAAGAAAAAAATGTGCACATCTTGGGGAAAAAAATATAAAAGCAAACAAGCTCTATAAGCCCCACACTCAAGTTCAATGAAAAAGTATTACAACATCAAAGGGAAATTGCAAGCCAGCCAGAAGCCAGATGGCGGGAAACCCAAGACCAGTTCAAGAGTCTCAGGCAAGTGCAACGGAACGCACACTTATTACTTTAACAGAGAATAAAGAAGAAATAACGAGTGCCAAAGAAAAAGGCACTAAGCTATTAAACTGGGTCTTGTAAGTGCTGCAGAGGAACCAGAAACATGGAGAGGATACTGGGAAGAGGAGGTCTGGTACAGAAGAAAAAAGCACTGTACTGTGGAAGCAAAACTGACTTGGGACACACATGTCCAGCTAAAAATAGATCTTGTAAGAATAAAAGGACCAGAGATCAGAAACCACTAGCAATTTAAAATTGATTATCAGGAAAATATAGAAATAACCACCTTGATATGTGCGTAGCAAGAATTCATTAAGCAATGCTCTTCTAAGAAGGAATTTAAGATGTGCTGTCATTAAGTTTTTCAACCCCAAACCAATTCACCTATTTTGAAAAATCATCCCAATCATAAAGCAAATCCCAAATTCTTCAAGTTATCAAGAAAAATGTGAATGTGATAATAAGAATGAGTATCAGTGTTTTGGAGGAAGGATGGACTTGGGGTAGGCAGGATGGAATTTATACAAGGTTAAGAGAAATTGAATTAGGATCTCAAGTACAGTATCTGGAAACACTCAGTGAATTTTCACTTCAGAGTAAGAGAAAATAATTTAAGACCCAGAGGAGATGAAACAATTTGTCAACAAAGGCTCACAGCTGTGAAGTTCACTTCCAGAAAACAATGCAGATTTGAAAGTAGTTCAAGGCTAAATAGAGCTCAAGATTCATGGAGGACAAAAATAGGAAAAAGATAAAATTCAAGTATAAATTAGATTACATACCATTAAAGCTGTGATATATTTGGATAATTTTCATAAGGACTTTATGCTACCAAGATGCAAACTAGACTCTATTTTTATCTCTAGAGAAAAGGAAGCATAAGATTTATTTTCTTAATTTGTTAATATTAATAGTACAATTTTACAGAAAACTGAAAAGTTATTCTAACCTATGATAATGCTGAAGTGGTAGAGGGAACAGACTAGGAGAATTTATTGTCTAACAAAGAGAGAATACAAATTTTAAAATCCACTACAGAAAACATACATTTAAAGAAAGCAAAAATAACAATCAACAACAAACAAACAAAAACCCCCAAGGTGATAGAACATAAAACAATTGCTGACTGTTGACTTAATTAAAAAATGAAACCCAGGCCAAAAAAAAAAAAAAAAAAAAAATGGGACCAGCAGTTGGGGTAATGGCTATGTCGCTAGACTCCCACGTAGTCGACTGCAGTTTGAGTCGTTTGAGTCCGGGACCCGGCGGCTTAAACTCACACTGGGCGCATGGGCATGTGTGCCCAAGATCCCGAGAGGACAATGGAGAAGAAGGGATTGTGGAGTGGCCATCCCCCCGGGGGGTGATTTCTCACTTTCTGTCTCTCTGTCTCTCTCTGTCTTTCTGGCCAGTGCACGTGCCCTATAGCAAAAACCTCTCCAACAACAACAACAAAAAGAAGTCCAGGCCATGCTGTGGCTTGGTGGTAAATAAGCTGGACCCCACCTGACTGTCTGTGTGATTAGAGTCCTGGACCTGGTGGCTTGAAAAACACACCAGGCACATATGTGCACATGTACCCAAAACCCTGATAGGAGGAAGAAGGGGTTGCGGCATGACCACTCCCCATGGAGGATGCTTTTCTCCCTCCCTCTCTTTCTCTCTCTTGTAAATGCCTGTTCCCTCTAACTAAAGACAGAAAAATAATGTGACTACATTGTGACTTCAAAAACTCACTTCTCTCTCTTGTTCTGTCCCTCTCTAGTTAAACTAATAAATGGATAAAGAAAGTTAAATAAAAATAATTCTTAAAAAGACATACATTTAAACCTAAAGACATAAGCAGATTAATAATTAGATGGTCTAATAGCTACCATGCTAGAAAATAAGGATATAGAAAAAGCATTCTGCAAAGTGATTTTCCTGAAAATAGGTGAAATAATTGTTACATAAAGTGCATTGATGAGAAACAAGGACAATGTCCTTGGATATATTAAGGATATATTAAGTCTTAAACTATATTAAACTTTTTGGTCCAGGACCCCTTTATGCTCTTAAAAATTGAGAACCTCGAACAACTTTTACCTATGTACTGATACATTGTCGACTAGGACTGAAGTTGTTTTTAAAGTGCTATTGTTTGTATGCTTCCCAAAATTCATGTGCTGAGATTTGGTTGTGACAGGATTAAACTTAGTCAAATTATGGTGTTGAAAGGTGGGGGCTGGACCAGCTGGTAGCAGGATGGTCAAGGCAGCTGGATCCTACATGACCAACTGTGCGGTTCTACACCTGGACCCGGCAGCTTGAATAACATGCTAGGTGCCTGTGCATTCACACTCAAAATCCTGAAAGGGGAAATGGAGGAGAAGGGATTGTGGCATGACCATTTCCCAAGTGGGGTGGGGGTTGGGATGGGGGTGCCTTCCTACTCTCTCCCTGTCTCTCTGACAGGTGTATACACCCTCTACCAAATAAAAATAAAAAAGAAAGATATAAAGAAAGACAGGTGAGGGCTTTGGAAAGAGATCAGAATTGAGGTTATTAGTACAGGGTCCCCATGACTGACTCCTGCTGAGTTTATAAGGAGAGGGAATGACATACTCAGAGATGTGGGGGGTTCTGTTCTTTCATGATGTGACACTCTCCATGACCTTGGGAACCCACTAGAAGGAAAATCCACCTGATATAGCTCCTGGAACTTGGACCTCCAAACCATGAACTGAATACACTTTTATCCTCTTAAATTATCCAGATTAAGATCATTTCTGTTATCAGTAATGGAATGAACTAGAACAATAAGCATATATCTCATTAGCAGTCAGGGCAATGACATTATCACACTTTGTACAGTATTTGGAAAAGTCAAATGATGTTTTAATATGATTATGAAAATTATTTTGATCTTTTGAATTCCCACAAGGGCCTTAAGGATCCACAGGGACCATACTTTGGCCACATTATATAATAAACACTGATGTCACTGCATTTACATATTTACATGGCTGGTTCTCTCATTAGCTTGTAAATTTCTGAAGGACATGGATTTTGTCTTTTTCATCTTTGTCTCTTTCCACTCCCTCTTAGCCTTGCTGCTAATAAACCTTTGCCGTTGTAGCTTTTCTGAGATGCCAGAGCAATGAGAAAATTGCTGTCTTTCTGGAATCTGATTTAATTTAGGGAAAATCACAGAGTTCATTGTTCTAATCGGAGCAGGTCAATCCCACCTCCTAGGTCCTCTTCTCAAGGTTCTCACCAAATTATAGATAGGTAGATGATAGATAAATACAAAAGGTAATATGTCTGTTTTACCTAGCACTGTTTGAGTCAAATTGTTCCTGAACCAGTAGAATTCCTCTCCCTGCTCTAGCAAGGAAGCTAGCTGTTCGCCTCCCTCGAATACCCTCCTCGGTAATACACTGACCATGTACATGCCAGAGGTGGTCAGCCAGTATCCTACACACAACCTGGCAGTGCCCACATGCCCACACAAACTGAGTTCCTCTCTCCTGGGGATCTGTCCCAGAGCTCAGCCAGGAATTCTCTCTGATTTGATCATTCCTACCTGGACACGTGGGGTCAAGAACAAGTCACAAGGCACAAAGACTATAGGGATTAAAGAAACGAGAGAGTAACAATGAGGGACACGCCAGTTCTGGGAGAACTGACAGGAGGTGGCACAAATGAGAGGACGACCAGCCAGAAGGGGAATTTACGTGTATTTGGCATAAATGTAAATCAAGAAAGGAACACCTGTCATTTCCAAGGCAGCAGCTCTAAGTGCTTTTCATGATCATTTTGAAGCTTTGTAATGAAATTGGACTCTTTGGAAAAATATCCTGCGGGTGCCCAGTGAGCAGACCTCAGAGTGAAAGGTGGTGAACACGCTGTGTTCAGAGGTTCTGCCTTCCCTGGTGGGGAAAAACACCGAAAGGCTGAAACAGGAAAGGGTCTCGGCGCTATGTCAGAATGAACAAAGGTCTCTTCTCACCACCTCCACCCTACGGCCATCCCAGTGTGTCTGGTCTGCTTTTAGGAACTGTATTACAAATGGAGTCAGGATGGTTCAGTTAGGCTAGCTCACCTCCTATCTTATCATGTTTGCAAACCACAAGGTAAACAACTTAGGTTATTAGTTGTGCTGTGCTTGCATGCTTGTTATGTAACCATGACTTTGCTATTTTACGCCATTGAATATAATGTGCATGTGTGTGTGCGACCGTTGGTTTTGGCAATGAGCCACTATTGTCTGCAGCCTCTTTAAGATTAAAGGAGCACCTGGTCAGCTAGCGCTGCCCAAAGGTGCCCTGTTCAGCACTGCCCAGCTATGCCCTGTTAGCTAGCCCTGCTCAGCTCAGCTTTGGTTCAGGCTGGTGAGCCCTGATGGGCTTGGCTTGGCTCGGCCTTAGGTTGGCTCGGCCTTGGGTTGGCTTGTCCTTGGCTGGGCTCAGCTCAGCCTCGTGCACCGTGTGCACCGCGAGCTCCTGAAGTGAGGAAAGTGCTCTGTAAGCATTCTCCATGTGCGTTACTAGCTCTAAGAGGGAGGAAGCACTTGCGAGTTCTGCTATGGGCTTTGTGAGCCTACTAAGAGCCTA